GGTGAATCTTTGATTATTATTATCATTGAAACTGTTTGTGCATATTATTCTATATATTTGTACTTTTTTTTATTCTAATTGTTTTTGTTTGACTATATTTTTCTTCTTTACTTTCTTGACTCGTTCTTTTCTTCGTTTATCCTCTATATTGTTCTCCTTTGTTCATTTACTTATATTTTTTTTTGATTCCATTGAATTGTCTATTATTTTTTATTTATTCATTTGATTTTTGTTGATTTTATTTTTCACAATTTGTTGTTTTTCTGTTTTTTTTTATTATCGTACCATATGCAGCTTCGCGTAATTCGGGCATTCCGTTCGACCCTCGAAGATTTAGAAGAACGACGATCGGTGCACAGTTTGCACAGCTTGCGTAGCTTGCGTTCGCAGTTAAATCCAAATATGGCTTATTTTAACACTGGCACACAAAGAAATCTAACACCACTCGCAGCATTACATCAATATCAACAGCAATTAATGCAACGTGACACACAATCGGCGGCGGCGGCCATTTCGTCGTCCAATTTACCCGATATGTCATTCATTGATGAAGACAACGGCACCATTGAAAACGGTGGCAGTGGTAGTGGTGGTGGCAGTGGTCGTGGCGGACAAAAATATAATGACGATTTACCGCGACCCGTTCAAGAAACACGCATTTAAATGAATAACAAAACAAGCAAAAAGCGCAAAGCAAAATGAAAGAAAAATTGAGCCACCACACACACACACACACATACACTTAAACACAGAGAGAATTTCTTTTACTACGATAAGAGTATTAAATTAGGCGCGAATTCTCACAAAGAAATTCGACAACTATTACTTTTCTGCGCACATTCAAATCGCACTAAAAAAAAATTCTTATATATTTCTCGATTATTTTTGTTTTTTTGTTTTTCGTTTGCTTATTTTGCTCAGAACTCTTTTTTTTCGATTCCATGCCGAAAACGCGGAAACGCGCATAATACTCGACTTTTTGCGGCTGGAAGATTTTTTTTTCGCGAAAAAAAACACAAAAATTCTGATAGAAAAAAAAAATTATCTTAAAAAAACCATTTACGTCAACAAATGAAAGTATATTCAGTCTGTTTTCGTTGCAAGTACATAATAATTAAAGAATAAAAACATATTTGAAGAGAAAAATCAATATTTAATTAACGTTTAACACAAAAATTTACTTAAAAAGAAACAAAAAAAAAAACATCAAGTTATATCTTTTAGTGGAAAAAAAATGATTAGGTTTAGTTTGTTGGTAGTGAGCATTGAACGTTTAAAATAGTGTCTGTGACGTTGTACCACTCCCCCATGCCCACACACCTCATCACCCCCAAACCAAAAACAAGTACAATTACACGTTGTCGTTTCAATTCAAACGCATCTTCCGACAAGTTTTCATACGATTTTGATGCAAATGTTGTGGGTCACAAACACACGTTCGAATGCAACCGAAGCAACAAGAAAAAAACACACACAAAACAACAACAACAACAACAATCTTAAATTACGCTTGAAACGTACTTTCAGACAATTGATTAAACAGTCAACGCTCTCGACAAACAAATTTATACAAAAGAAGTAGAGAAATACTTATGACCATTTATTTCTATTTCTTTGAATTTATTTAATGTGTTTTTTTTTCGTTCGTTTTAATTAAAACCTATTTTATAATAAACAAACAGAATTAATAAACCGTCAAGTAAAATGGAAATAAGATCCATGTTTTTAAAACAATAAAACCATATATTTTTTATCGTTTTTTTTTATTGTGTTCTTTATTTTGTGTGGGATGCTTTTGTTATTCTTCTATTAATTTTTTTAGTTCGCCTTTGTTTGATTTTGTGCATTATTCGTTTTGTTTGCTAACAATTAAAGCCTTTTTTTGCCTTTTTGCTTTTGTTTTTTGTTTCAGTGATTTTTCTTTTGCTTATTATTATGCTTTTTATTTCGATCGTTTACTTCGTTGTGAAATCGTTTACTTTTTTGTTTGTCTAAAAAATTGTCGCACGGGTGTCGACAATTGCTTGCAAGCCATATGCAAATGTTTTGGTTTTCTTTATCGAAATACACCGACTTTCGATTCATCCAAATTTTAAGCAGAAAAAGCGGTAAAAAATTAGCATTTATCATTTGCTAAACGCCTATATAGAGTCTTTGTCTTTGTTAGAAGAACACAATTAACAATCAATAAAAAATCATTTGAATTATTTAATCGAAAATAAAATGCCGACGATGTATCTGGTCACTTTTTTCTGGAAAACAAATGGAATTGCTCGAAAAACGCCGAAATAAAGCAAACATGTGAAAAGATAGGCTCCAAATGTCGATTACATTCGAGCTAACGTAGACAATTTCTTACTGAAATGAACACGTACTTGTTAAGTTTCATCTAGGATTGTAATCAACTGAACAACAAACTGGTAGAAAATAGTGGTCAATGAGAATTGTGAAATAATGAGTCAAATGGAAATCAATGGCAAATTGAACTGTTCGACGTAAACATCGTCTCAACATTGAGCGATCGGTTCGGCCACCTGGTGAGATAATAATGGCTATATTTGTTTTCTTCTTGTGTCAACCAGTTTGTTTGATTGTTTGCCGGGATACGGTGGGCTCTATTTCTTCCTTGAGACAATATGCATATCATCTGTTTGCCGTCCTCTCAGCATTCAATCGAGCAATTTAACTGCAATCAAAATGAAGCAAGAGAACAGAGACGAGAGAAAAGGAGAGATTCTTTGAATAAAGAGGAGATAATATTAATCAACTGAGAAAAAAAATGATGTGACGTCAATCAGTGAGAGAGACCATATGTCACCAATCAACCACGACTAACACTTGCTCATTCCTTAGTGGGTGAGAAAACCAAAAGAAAAAAAACAAAGTAAAATCCAATTTTGATCTTCGTTTATGTGCATCTTTACGTCAACCGGACACCATCAAATCATCGCCTCTATTCGGGTTCGAAACATGAGCGCGATCTCGAACTCTTACTTGAGACCACGTGCCTTTTTTCTGTTCTAGAATGAAGCCATCTTTTAGGCATCCAATTAACCCCACATCCAACAAACAACACTTTCTCTTTTTTTGAACCAAACCACTTTCGATCTCATGAATACCATACAAAAACAATCCGTATCTCATTCACGCATTCAATATTTTTATTACACTCTATCGTTCTGGAATATGTTGTAGTGCCTACTAACCCTCCCAAAAGCAAACGTTGCTATTTCGTCCCATGCAAAATCGAATTGGCGCATGTGAATCAACTGTAACGAAAGCCATCTAGCACGCAAGTTTTATTTCTTTTGTTCTTTTAAAATCTACATCCCTCCCATTTTCGGTCAATTTTATCCTAACCAGAGCATTTCGGTTACACATTTCTTTAGAGAAGAAATAAAAAACGGAAAAAGATGACAAAAAAATTCTGGAAAAAATGAAATAGACTCCCTTAGAAAAAAGCCCTTAAAATGGAAAGCTCCAACAATATTCACGTGTGAAGGAAAAAATCACCGAGAAATGTAAGTTTATATGGCTTCTTATTCGAAGCTCGTGGGATAATATGTGATTTTTCAATAGAAAAACCTACAAACTCCATGTATAGATGATTTGAAGTGATATTAGTTGAAACTTCTTGAAATAAACGTACTGAGCGTTATCAACGAGCGATTCACATGTTAGATGCCATCAAATCTAGTCTATCCCGAGATTCAATTGCGTTCGCTTTAGATCGGAATAACAAAAAAATACCATACTAGCAAACCTATCCTTCAAAATAGTATCCAAATCCGTCGTATCCAAAGGATAAATTGACCGTTGTTCGTAATGCACAAAACACATCCCACACAGAGACCGATAGAAACAAACAAAACATTATCTGCCACGATCATATAGTATAGCGAAGAATGCGTGCTTGAATGAGAAATGATTTGATTTAGCTGTTGATATGTCCCTGAATGCACTCGAAATGAATTTTCATTTATCGATAGACTGTTTTGTTCAATGTTCGGAAACGATTCTTTTGGCATTGATTCTAGTTTTCCATCGTTTTTTCGTTTTGGTTTTTTTGTTATTTTGACTTTTTTGCCTTCAGCAAGACAAGAGCTATACAATCAAACATGCAAATTCATATTCAAATATTCTTTTTTTGCGTACAAATTTTGAACAAGATTGGAATTATCTTCTTATTTGTGTGAAGTGATTCAAAGCAGCCATTTTGAAGTATTTAAGAAATGTTCGAAAAAGAATTCATTTAGATCGATGATACAACTTTTCATTTCAACGGAATCTCTCTCCTGATTCCACATTGCAAAATGGCTTGCATAAACGTTCAATCTTAAAAAAAGAAAATCTGATTTTTCTTCTTTGGAAAACTCAAAAAAAAAGAATGTTTGAAAATTTACAACGAATGCTATACGTGAAAATGAAAATTAATTTGAAAGAAAAATCGACTACTGTTAAAATGTCATGTTTTTGTTTGAGATAAACATTTGATTTGCTCTTGATCCGCTCTTTTTTTTTCTCGTTCATTTTGTTACGTGCGTTTGTTCTTTTTTCTTTGGGTTTGGATCATGCAGTGAATCGGTGATAGTGATTATAACCATTTCAATACCATAATCATACATACAAATATCTCGTTCACATATATCTGCAATATTGCTGATTCACCGCATGCCCATCGGGTTACCACAACAACATGAACAAAAACATTGTTTTTATTATTTATTCATTTTCTTTTTCAGTACATAAATATCATCATAAAAACAAAACAAAACAAAACAAAACAAATGAATCGTTTTTGGGTTTTAATTATATCCAATTTCTTGCTCTATTTCTGTCTATTTTTTCTATTTAATAAAATCACAAAAACACACACACTTTTTTGCTCTATCTCTACTACTCTACTCTTTTTCTCATTACTCTACTGTTTTTTCTCTCAACCTATGCAATCATCATTTTACTTTATTGTTTTTCTTTCTTCTTTGATATTTCTTTTAAAGGTGATAGGAGGTGAATTACAAGAACGTTTGATTCCAGTACCCTACAGCAAGAGCTCCACTGATCAAGCTGTAAGCCGCTTTCTGTTTCTCCATGCTCACTATCTTCTTATGTTTTCCACTCTGTTTGCTGTTTTTTTTTCCTGTTTAGACTGTTCTTATTACGTTTTTCGTTGTTTTCTTTTTTGACCACAAAAGGAAGAAAACCCTTTTTCATTGTGATTTTTGTGTTTATTTCCGTTTATTTGCCTTGCATATCTTTCCACTGCATTTGTTATGTGAACCAAACCAAAAACAAAAACCGTTTACAATAAAATGTTGTGTTTGCTTGAAAAATTAATACGCTCGATAAAGGTTATGACCGTTAATCAAATCACATACGCAATTGTGACCCACCCAACTCCAAAACACTTGTCTTCGGTCGAGATGTGCTTGGCTTTTTTTTCTTCTTTTTTCCCTTCGACATTTTAAATCCTAGCCTATCTGTCTATATATGCTTTTAACACCTAGATTGTTTTTGTTTTTCTGCTTTTGTTGCTTCCTTCGAATGGAAATACCGTATTGAAAGTTTAGCTTTTGGCTCGTCTTTCTAAACAATTCGTCTTTCTTTTTCTCGTTGGTTTTTTTTCGTTTTGATACTGCCAGTTTAGATTTTTTTTCGACAAACTGAATCCCTTTTTCATTCGTTTGTCCACTCATTTGATTTTTTTTCGGTTTGCTGAACAGATTTATGCTATTTTAGTTTTGCGTTGATTGTTGTTTACTTGTTTGAAAAAAAGAAGAAGAAGAAGAAGACGACGAACGATACAAATCAACGAAAAATTCGATTGGTGTCAAATGCAGTACGAATTCGTAGTCGATTTGGTGTTCACGTTATTCAAGAGTGGAATTCATTCCATGGCGCGCATGTTTATGCTAGCGCAATGCCAAAAATCATGCGCTCAATGTACATAGGTATGGTACAAATGTATAAATGTATATTTTAGAGAAAGAGAATGAGCCGAATTTTCTATCCACTTTTAAATGATGTGATTGCATATTACACACTGCAGTTGACAACAATGGCATTTTTGTTTTTCGTTCGTTATCAGTGACCGGAAATAAAAGCAGGTTAAGTAAATCTATTTGAATACGAATAAATATGTTTTCGTACAATGTTTTTTTTTTTTCATTCCCACTTCATAATCTCCAGCTAATTTCATTTGTTTAATTCGACCAACCGTTTTGTTTCGTCTCTTTTTCGTCTCTAAAATTTTGTTGATTTAACCAAAAACCATATTGTTTACATTTTTTCGTTTCTGGTGGACCAATGTCCTCCATTGCATCAGTCTTAAAGGTCTAACAAAATGAACAAAAAAAAACTCGTTACAAATCTCGAAAGAAAGGGAGAAAAAACTAAATACTTATTGTGACCAAATGTTCATCATCATTGAATTTTAAATGTTCAACTAAATGCGAAAATTGTCATTCTCGTATACAGAAATAGAGAAAGAGAAATCTCTTCCCACACATAAACACAATGTCTATGCGTTTTTGATTTGTCTTTCTCACTCTAACATTCACACACACACACACACACACACGCACACGCACACATCAATTTGTCAAATTTTGTTGTTATTCTCCGATTCTAATTCCACCACCCCATCTAATCCTTCAATTTAAATCCCTCTTTCAAATCATAGATTTGCATCACTTCAATGTGACTAATGACAAACTCATTGACAATCTTGAGGATTTTTTATTTTTTGGCTAACAGAACGATTTGACATACTCCATTAATAATAACCGCTTTTGTGTTTGCGTAGATGTGCAAAGACAGAAGCGAAAAAAATAGGACGAATCAATTAGCTTGTAGAGAACTTTTAGCTATCAAATCAACTTTAGTCACAAACACACACACACACACACACACACACACACACACACACACACACACA